AACGGTTAACCATTTTCTAACCAACACCTTTTCTACTGAAAGACTTTCCTAGGAACTCACACTTTGTTTGGAAAAGAAAATACTTTTCAGGCTTTAACTTCAAGTTGTAAGAACGCAATCTCTCCAAAACCTCTTTCAAATTCTTAAGATGATCTTCAAATTTTTCCCCAACACTGTGATATCCAGATACACTAACACTTTCTCCCAAGTCAAACCTCTCAATACTAACTGCATTGCTCTTGAAAAACTTGCAGGAGAATTAGTAAGTTCCATAGCCAATACTGGTGGAGAAGTCCATTCAGAATTTGACGGCTGAATAACATCAGAAGCTAACAACTTTTCAAGCATCTTTTTCTCTTCTCCCTCCATTCCCAATGGAGTTCTACGCAATTTCTGTTTCACAGGAGCTGCACTACCAGTGTTAATAGTATGCTTAACACCTTTCATGCACCCTAAATCAAGATCACGCTTTGCAAATACATCTTCATAATCTCTCAAAGTTCTACACAATGCAACCATTTCATTTGAATCAAGCTCCTCACGCGATCTTTCAAATAAATCTTGCTAATGTTCAGGCAAATCTCTTTTCAAACTTCTCATTACTTCTTTATCCATGTTTTCACCTATATTCAACTTCATTTCAGCTTTATTCACAGCAGACACCCTAGCTTTCCCATCTACATCTTTACATCTCACTTCAGAATCAACTGTCTCAACTTCCTTAATAACACCTAACACACTACCTGCTTTCAAAACAGCATTTCTTTCTCCATCACTCACAATTTCTACAGGAACAACATCATCACCTTTAACTAATGCACAAGATACCAACACTTGTCTATCAATACAAGGTTCTATCACATACTCTTTCTTTTTCTCTAACTCATAATCTGCACAAACAGAAATTCTCATCACCGTTAATGGAGGAACTACTATTCTCTTTTTCGTTCTCACCATATTTTCACAAATTTCAACTTCTTTCTCTGATTCATCAACACATTTCTCATCACTTTTAGCTTCTGCCTCACCATTCACTTTACTCAAATCAGAATCACCTTCAACTTCTATGCTTCCCTGTACACATTTTTCTCCAACGATCAAAGTATGATCAACTAAATTCACCACACAATTTCTCTCCTTCAAAAACTTCAATCCCAACAACATATCAATTCCTTCTTGCAAATCTGCAACATACACATCTTCCTTATATTCTATCCCATCTATCTCAATACTCAAATTTTGTACTCTATGACCCATCATAAATGCATTTTTTCCAGCAAGCATTAATTTCAGAGTCTCACAAAACTCAGGCATACCCTGCAATTTACTATAAAATATTTTATTTACGATAGTAAATTGAGCTGCCGTATCCACAACTGCTAATGTTTTCACACCACCTACACTAACAGGAATCACAAAATTTTCTCCTACTAATTCTCCAACATTCATCATTTTCACATTTCCACTATCCATAATCCGACCTTCAACATGAAGTAAGGGATCCGAAATCCGGTCGGTCAATTCGTCCCGTTCTAGTTTACCGAATTTCTTGCACCAGGAGGAGGATTTTTAGGCAATTCTCTATTTTGAGGGCAATTTGTTTGAATGTGACCTCTCTGTCCACATTTATGACAAATCAAAATAGAACTTGGACTGACATTTTTACTAACATTGGGATTAGGTGGATGCTCTACAATTTCATTCTTACAATCCCTTTGAACATGACCTCTTTCTCCACATTTAAAACATTGTGGTGGACCCCCTCTACTTTGATTTACGTTTCCATTCTGGGGTGTTTTTACCATTCTACTAGGATTTCTGAGAATTTGACGGCAACACCCATGCGTCATTCATTCTTTTCATCTGATCACACATTGCAGACATGGTTCTTTGCATGTTGTAGAGTAATTGATTATTACTTCCATTCTCAACACTCTGATCAGACATTCCAACTTGTCTAATATGCACATTTCTCCCACCTGTACCATACACTGCTTTGAAGTTATTGTTTGCAACTTTCACAAACTCTAACGCTTCAAATAAATATTTAGGCTCTTTATCCATAGCCAACTTTGCAGATTCTTTTTCACGACACCCTCTCAAAAATGAATCTACAGCTATTCCTTCACCACCTTCTGCATATCCCTCTCTAGATGCCATTAACACACGATGAGAAAAATCTTGCAAAGATTCACTTTCACCCTGCCTCATTGATTGAAGTGCTCTCCGCGCAGATGAAGCAGACTCTTTCATACTAAAACGTTTTGACATCACTTCTTTCAAACGTTTATATTTGCAATTCCCAAACTCCACTGCATACTCAAGAGCTCTGTCTTCCAAACATTCAATCAATCTGCTAGTTTTTATTTTATCATTCCATCCATATCTTTCTGCCATTCCTTCAAACTTAAAGGGATAATAACTCTTTGTATGAGATATATATTTCACAATAAAAACATTGTGAATAACTCAAATAATATATTATATTCTGTTTTACAACAAAAACGGCAGTTATAGCTATTATTCTGATATCTGAGCTTGTCTTTAGACCACGTGACCTCCATTGATGGCTATACTAAGTTAAAATCTCTTAAGAGATTTTAACAAAAAAACCAAACTTTTTAGAAAAAAAACAGGGACTAACTTTGAATGCAAAAATGGATTCATTAACCATTGGTAAGTATGGGAAAATTGTTGTTTACTCCAGGAAAATTCATTTTTTTGGCCGAAATGAAGAGTTATTATCCCTTTAAATACAAAAGCTTCCCAATTTTCTCTTCCATTCCCACTAAAACTAGGCATATTATGAAGAGATCCTTTTTCTCTTTCAACTAAAGGAACTTTTTTCTGTTCACATTCAGATTCACTTTTGCTTTCACTATCACTTTCACTCTCTTCTAGTTTCAGTACTGGTTTTTTCACAGGGGTTTCCAAACTTTTCTTTTTACTACTTCTAGATGCAGGTGTGGGTCTGCTTTTAATACTTCTAGGAGTCGGCCTTGGGATTTTTTCTAAATCATGTTGTAAATGCATTCTTTCATACTGAGTTTGCAAATGATTATGACGTGCTGTCATCTCATCCAACTGCAATTTCAAATCCATTTTTTCATTTTCACACTTCTGCAAACTTTCTACACGTTTTCTCAACAATTCATTCTGTGTTTCAACCTGAGCATGTAACATCATTTCTTTTGTTGAATACTCTCTACACTCTTCTTCCATTTCCATTCCTTTTTTCATCAACTCTTGTTTAGTTTTTCCCAACTCACTCTGAATTTTCACATTTCTTTCTTTCAACATATCATTTTCAATTTTCAAATCACACTTCTCATTTTCTAAACTATACTTTTCATTTTCCAAAGCATATTTCTCTTTTTCTACAACACCTTTTTCATTTTCCAACTTTTTCACTTTAGCATCATTAATCTCCAATTCACTTGATAAAAATTCTATCTTTTCTCCAGCTTCTACCTCATCTCGAAGATTTGATATCATTTCATTTTGTACCTTCAATCGCTCCATCAACTTTCTATACGTTTCTTCCCAATTCACACTCTCTTCCTTTTTCTCATCTCCAACTTTTGAACCTTCATCTTTTTCTTCCATTACTCCCAGAATCACAATACCCTTCTTTTCCCATTTCTGCCAATCTGCCACACTAATTCCAGTAATTTCTTCCAAATCACTCAACAGCAATTTTCCTTTTTGATTTCTCAAAGACACCAATCTATGAGCTTTCACTGGACCTATTCCTTTCAAATTTTTCAATTCTGTTTCAGATGCTGTCTGCACATTCAACACAACACTACATGTACTTTCCACAATACCCGACGCCATTTTCACTTCCAGTTTCCCACAACCTATTACACAATTTTATTGATAATAGCAATGCAGCTGTGCCACAAAAACTACACAATAAAATACTTTCACCACTACCACACCTTACTGTTTGAAGAAAGTTTCAGCAAAAAGCCACTACTAAACTTCACAGTAAATACAAACAAATCTCTCACACTATTCAACCTACTTACATGTACACCTATGATGAAACACTTTCAACACAGACGAACAAGGTAGAATAATAGTCTATCAATATATGCTATTGCAATATTGATAAAAATATACAATAAACAATTCACACTCACTCCCTCATTCAGCAAGTCAGTGAAAAACACAAATTTGAAACCTTTATTTTAAATAAATGCTTTTCTTTGTAAATAAACTCACTAAATTATGTTCTGTATTCTAATTACAACATAAGGTTCTACACGCACGGGCCTGTAATTACACGTGGTCTGTCCGACTACTACTCAGTACACGTGGTCCGCAATGTCTCCGCAGCTGTAGTACCACAACAGAAAATTAATACAAAATATCTCTACTAAAATGAATTCTAAACTGAATATATTTACTGAATTGCCACGAGTATCAAACAACAATGAAAATGAAATATCACTGCAATATGTTCCGACTAGTTCGCGTCTTGCAACAAGTCCAGTCTAACACGTGTCACTATCTTTCCAACTCTCACTCAGTCATACACAAAGCTTTTCAATAATTCTAATATCACTAATAACTAACAATTCTATCCTCTAACAACATATGCTACACAAAATTCTATCCTGTCAATTAATAAGCAACACAAACTCTATCCTGTCAATTAACACAATAAGGTACACAAATTGAATCCTGTCGACTGCGCCAATTGTTACGCCTTCGCGGCCGAGTGCCTTATGAAGGTACAAATAACAATGTACTTACTGGTATCTTAGAGTCAAGAAAGAACATCTACGAGAAATACCCCAAAAGAGAACCGCAAAAGAGTCAAGAACACAGCTAGATGATCACCAAGAGCCGTAAAGAGACCGATTTATTTCAAGTCACACCTTATATACAAGTTCAGATAGTACACGTTTACCAATCAGAACCAACTATACAGTGAACAGTTTTACCTTTAGGTTACCAATCACGGGAGAGATTCAAACTTGCACACCGGACAACACTTTACTTACAGAGACATCTACCGGTAGCAATATAAAATAATACCATCTAACACACTACATCGTCACACTGGAGGCTTGCAAGGCGCTTCATGCTGCAACAGGTGTGACAAGGCATCTACTTTCTGTTCCTGAGTGTTGGAGGTCCATGGAGCATCCCCCTGAGATAGCAAGAATGGCACTTACTTTTTTTTACTTGTGTATTTTTTTTTTTCAATTTTCAATCATCAAAAATGTAAATTTTCTTTATTTGATTATGTTTCTTTATCTCTAAAATGGTTATTTACTTTTATTCATGGGGGGGGGGGGGGGGGGGGGGGGGAGGGGAATTAGCCTCAATTAGAATATGAAACACATTCCCCTACAGAACTTCAAATGGCACATTACAGTGCAATTAGAATAATTGTTCACAATGAAAAACATTTCATCATCCAAAATAAGACTTGTTGTAATATTCCTAAATTAGCCTTCTATATAACATAGAGCATTATGTAACTAACAACAACATACCTTATGCAATTCTGGGAAGTCTTCCTCATTTAGCTGGAACTTTTCTAAACCAGAGTCGTAAGAACTTGATTCCCTGAAAAATAAAAATTAAATGTGGATTTAATATGAATCCCCATGCTAAAAAATTGCAAAGGGTAGAAAATATGATTAATGGAAATAATGTTTTCAATGGCATAAAAAGCAAACATTTGTATTACCTTTGGTACCCATGCAGGAAAGGACAAGTAAGACCCTTGAAGCAGCACCCTTCTTCCCAGAACCTACAGGTTATCTGGGTGAGATCATGAGAAAATTTACAGTCCGCCCTTTTACAGTGACCCTCCAAGAAGAAGCTGCATGGCTTCTTGCGTGGCCCTGCAATGTACAGAAATACACTTTACTGTGTGTGTGTCAGCCCCTCTATCATTATTACCATTATTGATTTCAGTTATAACAAAACTAGCATATATGCAGGAAATAGGTCCTTCTTGTTGGCCTAGATATTGCTGCCAAATACAAAACAAGGCAGCAAAGCTGTCAAATGTATAGACAAAAGACAGGAAATAACTATGCACAAAATAGGCTACTGTCAATTCTGATGCAAAAGTACATTATGTTAAACTTCAAATTCAACATCAAATTTCAATTATGCTCAACAGGTAATACCAATGTAAGTAAAATGTGCTTTTCCAACTCAAAAGTAACATGGCAATCATAAGTAACATGGTTTTTCCATAATGGTCATCATGGCAGCAGCACCCAAAATTGTGTTTTCTTCTATTCTGATGCCATATTACATAATGGTTAACAGCATAATGACCGTCAATTTTTAATAATATAATATACGTATCATGGATTTTTAGAAAATGTGACTAGCATGGGTCTTCAAGCCTGCAGAACTTCAAAGTCACACCTTGAAATACCAATATGTGAAAAATTAAATTTTCACAAAAAAAAAAACGTTTAACTGGCAGTAAGAATTACCAAACAGACTGCATTGCCTACTGAAGCTGTATTTTAGTCCCATGTTTCTTTCCTGTAAGTTTGAGAACAGTAAGTGACATGGTTTTTCTTAAATGGTCATCATGGGAGCAGTGCCCAAAATAGTTTTTTTTTAAATTTTGATGCAATATTACATAATGTTTAACAGCATTTTTACATAATCAAGTAATTATGTTCTAAAGATGCAGGAAATGCCAAACAAACACTTTTACGTATCTTATTAATTAACAAGACAGCACTGTTCTGAAATGTTTTTTTTTTTTCATTTTTAACAANCATCAATTTTTAATAATAAAATATTAGTATCATGGATATTCAGAAAATGTGACTAGCAAAGGTCTTCAGGCCCATGGAACTTCAAAGTCACAACTTGAAAATGCCAAAATGTAAACAAGACAGCACTGTTCTTAAATGTTTTTTTGCCATTTTTAACAATTTTTTAAACATAAAACAAAATTAACAGGTTACTGCAATTTTTATATGATCAACTAAGAAAATTGATGAGATGGGGAAAATATCAATAAAATAGTGTTAAATGTCCAATTTCCTCCATTCTGAGATTCTGAACATAGTGAATGATTGAATCTGACCAACTGCCATGATATGAGTTTATTTCCATTTTTGAAACTTTATTACACAATACACGATAACAAGTTTACCATCATTTTTACATAATCAACTAATAATGTTGTAAAGATGCAGGAAATGTCAACCAAACACTTTTACATGTCTTATTAGTTAAATAATGAGACTGTTAACATGCCTAAGAGTTGAATCTGAGGAAATGTGAAAAAACAGCATAACTTCTAAAATAATGGCCCGATTATGCTGATTTTCGAACTCAACCTGCGTTTTAGTAAGATTGACCACTCCTGTGAGTTTAATGACAATTGGCCCATCTGTTTTTCTTATATTGTGTTTACAGTGTTGCATATATGCTGAAAAATGAAAAAACAGCATAACTACTAAAATAGTGGCCCGGTCATGCCGATTTTCGAACTTGACCTGCGTTTTAGTAAGATTGATTACTCCTGTGAGTTTCATGACAACAGGCCTAACGGTTTTCCTTGAAATGTGTTTACAGGGTTGCATATATGCTGAAAAGTGAAAAAACAGCATAACTTCTACAATAATGGCTCGATTATGCTGATTTTCGAACTTGACCTGCGTTTTATGAATATTCATCAGCTCTGTAAATATAAAGCCAAAAAGTAAAACTGCCCTCCACTTATCGTGTTTACAAGGAAAGTGCACGGCGCCGGCATCGGCATCGGCGACGGCGACGGCGACGGCGACGACAGACGCAGGTGATGGCAATATGTACAGACACATCTGTGTCTGTACATAAAAAAAGTACAGTATTATAAATGCATGCAAACGCGATATAAACTTGTGTCATTCTAATTTTGACTTCTTTAAAGCGCACCTGCTGTGGAACCCTATGGTACCCGTGAACCATCTTACATCTTCTGCGCTGTGGAAGCTGGCCAAGTCCCCGCCTCTTGACAAACAGAAACTGCGTGCCTCTGACCAGGTCTTCTTATGTGTGAGAGACTTGTAATATCCCTGTGTACGCAGAAATCAATTACTGGAATTATTTTTTTTTTTTAAGATTCGTGAAGAAAATCACGGTTGGGTTTTTGTTTTAATGTTTTAATGTTATCATGACGAAACAATAATGAAAGACGAATATGATAAAGAGGCGTTTACCTTTAAAAAAACTTCTTATAAACTATTTAAAATAAGAATCGCTTAACCGACAAGGAGCATTTTCAAGTATTTGCTTTAGAAACGGAATCACATGGTACTCCTGGAGTAAAGTGTCCTTACCTTATAACACATGCCGTCCTTGGTGTGCCAGCTGGGTCTACAAGATGGTCTAGGGGTTGTTGGCGGAGGGACTGGATAGATCGGATAAAATAAGTATACACCTTTTGTTATGTTCTTAAATCTGTGTGTGTGTGTGTGTGTGTGTGTGTGTGTGTGTGTGTGTTCCAATTAGATGACAGCATTTCGTTGAAAAGCATCAAAACAATATTTGTCTTACACCGCTAGGGGTAATTAACTAACGCAATTACCACTGATTGAAAAAATCAATAATTTTTAGACTGCCATCTCTTGTATCCCCATGATAAAATTGTGATTTTCTTAATCAATAAACATTCTTTTTATAAAGTAAACCTACGGTATAAACTGAATAACCAATTTTAAAAACCAAATACCCCCTTACCTTTAGCAACCTTGCATATGAACCCCCTGGCGGCGTAACAGTTGGTCACCTCCCACTTCCCGTTGGCTGGATGGACCGAGGTGCACTCTTTATAATTGCCGTTGTCGGGTTCTCCCACAGCCCAGTTCTCGTAGTTAAACGGGGTGTGGTCGAACCAGGCGAAGGCACCTAAGGTCAGGGGTCAAATGAGACCAATGAAAAAGTTGCTTACATGTAGGCATGAGAACAGTGAAGACTAAATCCGGTTTTAATTTCAAGAGACAGTTCTGTTGTTTAAAAACTACCTTNGGTTCTGTTCTTTAAAAACTACCTTTAATGAAAGTATCTGTACTTTTATCCTAACTGTTTTATACCTACAGCAACAAATGAATGCCATATAACTCAGCATAAAAAAGTTTTACGATCCAGTCTCAACACACCTTTTATTTTTCTCACAAGTCCTATCCACAGGTTTCGCTTTTCATAACGTTCCTGCTGTATTGTTCGTAAAATGAAATCCATTTCGTCCTGATTAGTGATGCTCGCCAGCGCACCCCCATGCTTTTGGCACAGGAAACTCGAATGCGCCCAGCCATACGAGTAACTGGTTCTGTTAGAGAACATGTAACAGTAGGAACCGTGGTCGAACCAATGCTTATCATCAGGGCATCTACCAGGGGGGTTGACCACTGTCGTGGGCGGAATGGCTGCAAAGGTGATTTCTTATATTTTACAAAATGCTTACAACCAAATCTAGGCACGTCTGAACGAAGAGTAAATAAGGGGAGCTAAAGTGGTGGGATGCCGTATATGCCCCGTTGCCCTCTACAGTATGTGTCTTTTGACTACCAGGTTAAAGCAGACGTGAAAAGCTATACAGTACGGTACATGTAACATACTAGTATGTGAATTTCATTTCGTCAGTTTGTCACTCTACTTTGAAATATCAAATTGATCTTTTTCTAAGGGTTGACAAGTGCGATTTGGTGAAAAATCTAATAACATTTAATTGCACAGTACCGGTAATTGTAGAACATAGGAACTCAAAAACAATGCCGCATCATAACACATTTAGAAGCGTCACACCTAACACACTCAGTACACACAAACCTGAAGTCCTTTTACATATTCCCTGCAGTTTCAAACCACAGTCCGTGTCGTTCCAGTTCCCGTCTGGCATCAGAGCCACGCACCTGTCTGTCTCCCCACGTGACGGCTCCGTAGACCCCCAGTGGACATATGATACAGGCCAACCGTCCACCCAGTAATATAAGGACTGCGAAAGAATGATCCAAAGTTATTTTAAATGAATAATTGGTTTTTGTAACATATTTGGTCAGTTCCTTTCTTCATTTATTAACGAAACGTGTGAATGAAAATGTCATATACGTATGATAACGATATACAGATATCCGTTATCAACGTTTTGTCACATTTGAGTTATACTTCAATAATGTTTATGTTAGCCAAACTCGCATAATTACAGAACGTTACTTAAAACTGTCTCCTTGATTGATCGATGGATTTAAAACACCAAAAATGTTGCTTATTATCATATAGCATCAATGAAATTTTACAAAATTATTCGTCGTATTTTGTTTCCTTCACTCCACACTGGTTGCCCAGTGTGGCACAGTAATAGTCCTTGCAGGTGATTGTTAAGTTCATGTCATATTCAAGGAGAAAAGTGACAGTATTTTAATTGTTCATATTTCTTTGCGTTTTCATAATATAGCCTTCACTGAAATTATTAAAGTAATCATTTTCACACAAATCTTCCTCACCCCTCTCCTCGTCAGCCCTAACCAAATTGGCCCAGACGTATGCCTCTGTCTTTTCAGCAAGACAAAAGCCTGTTCATACGGTTCAGTTACAGACACGAGGTGGTCCTGTTGACGTCGACACGTGGCGTTGGCCTCCTCCCACGTCATGGCGGCCGTTACCTGGTAACAGGCGTCACCAAACGACTCGTAACCAAGGGGACAGGGTGACGGGGACTGGGAAGGCGGAGGAGTCGGGTAGCTGGCATCTGAAACCAGTAGAATGAAATGAAGATCAGTAATAATTTTAGTCATGATTGTAGAAATCCGTCAAAACCATCAAGTATCATGTCTTCCTGGCCGCTTCCGAACTCGTGTTGGTTGTCAGCCGATATCACACATTTGAATGTAAACAACACAAATTGAGCATACAGAATCGAAATCATAAGTCACAATTGCTTAGGACGTGCTTTAATTGTCTTAAATCTGCCTGGGTATATCAATTCAGACTTTTTTGCATGACGTACTGCTGTCAGGACT